CACACACACACACACACACACACACACACACACACACACACACACACGGCGCGCCACTCCAGGCCAACTCATCTATTCTCATAGTGTTCTAGCTTCTGCCTCTGGCCTTTTCCCAGGCTGTTCCCCCATGCCTGAAACTTAACTCACACCATCACTTCATCTCTTAAAATTTCAGCTTCCTTCAAGGCTCAATTCAATTCATTTCTATTCAAGAAGTATCATTTAGTACTTACTCTGTGCTAGGCACTGTGCTGGGTGCTGGGCATATATAGAAAAACTAAAGAGCACCTGCCCTCAAGGAGCTTATAGTCTACTGAAACAACATGTACACAAATATGTATGTGCAGAGTATATGTGTGTGGCTATGGTAAATACAAGGTAATTTTGAGAGGATAGCTTTAATAACTGGGTAGGGGGGATTAGGGGAAATGAGGAAAGTCTTCCTGGAGGAGATGACGCTTGGACTGTGGTCTGAAGGAAGCTATGGGTTCTACAGGATGAGGTGAAGGAAAGGGCATGGCAGTATGGTGGACTACTTATACAAAAACTTTGAGGCTGGAGATGAAATATCAAACAGTTCCCCATGGAACAGTGAGTAGAGCAGTTTGCTTCACACACAGCCTCCCACTGGAAGCCTTTTCTGATCCCCCTAGTGGTTAGTGTTTTTTCCTCCTTTGAATTATCATGTCTCTACATGTTTTATCTCCCTAGTAATATGTAAGCTGCACGAAAGGTGGGACTTTCTCATTTTGTGTTTGTATTCCCAGCATTTAACACACATAATAAATTCATCTTGGATTGGTTTGGATTGGAAGTGACCCCAAAACCCTTTCATGAAGATTAAATTTTAAAAAGATTAAATAAATAATGAAATCAATTAATTCTAACAAAACAGTAATATGTGTCCTATATGTAGCTCAATAATAAATATAAATATCCCATATGGGATGACAAATATTATACCATAGACAGATTTCAAGTTGAAAGGCACCTTACAGGTCATACTATTTTTAAGGATTTGTCTTTCAATTCTCTGGCTCTGCTTTTTATTTTATTTTTAGGCAATCAGGGTTAAGTGACTTGCCCAGGGTCACACAGCTAGTAAGTATCAAGTGTTTAGTCTGAGGCCAGATTTGAACTCAGGTCCTCCTGACTTCAGGACTGGTGTTCTATCCACTGTGCCACCTAGCTGCCCCTGGCACTGCTTTTTAAAAATCTTAATATGCTTGTAATCTTTGAAGAGTCCACAATATTACACTGGACCAAGTATCTCTTCAGCCCTGAATTGTTTCTCTGCCTTGCTTACATCCTTCCATTTTCCCTGCCTATCTCTGAGCATTTTTCAGATGATTTCATTTAACAAGCCCAAACAAAGCTCTGAGAAAAGTAACACAGGGATATACATTTTTATCCTTCATTTGACTATGAGAGGTTGAACATAAAGATAAAAAAGAGAGTGACCATAGAAAATGATCAGAAAATGGAGCAGCTAGGTGGTGCAGTGGACAGAGCTCCAGCCTTGGAGTCAGGAGGACCTCAGTTCAAATCTGGCCTCAGACATCTAATACTTATTAGCTGTGTGACTCTGGGCAAGTCACTTAACCACAATTGCTGGGTGTCTAGACAAAAAACAATAATAATCATGGCTTTTCATCTTATTCCTGAACAGTATTGTGCATTAAGCTGAGGAAGCAGATGACACAAAGTTCCTTAAAAAAACAAAAACAAAAAAACCCCACTAGAATAATGATAAAAACACTGTATAATTGTAATGACCAATCATGACCCCAAAGAAGAAATAAAAAAAATTCATCTACCCCCTTTCCTTAGAGATGTGGAGGA